AATAACAACATAATTAGTCAGTGAATGCGTCCAAAATCTTCAAAACCTTAAGAAACACAACAACCTGATGTTGTCTTGGGTGTCAGGGCACAGAGTAATTTTGGGTAATAAGAAAGCAGACAGTCTGGCCAGAGGAGGATCTGCAAGACCATACCTAGGCCCCGAACATATGGGATAACAAAAACAATTGTAGAACCTTCCATCGCAGAATGGATCCAAACAAAACAAAAGGAGAAGTGGTTAAACTCTAGCGGAGCTTGGCACAATTAACTTATGATAAAACAACCCTCACTAAGACTGGCAAAAGCGCTGCTGCAATTGGACAGGGCCAAACTCAGAGGAGTGGTAGGACTACTAACCGGTCACTGGCATTTGAGAAAAGATCTACTCAACATGGGCTTATACACCCATGGATGTTCTGATCCATCAGCAGATTATATAATGAGGAGGAGGAAACAATCATCCATATCATCTTCGAATGCGAAGCAACAGCTCAATGGAGATTTAACCTAACGTACGGAAAAAACTTAGGGAATCAAATTGCCGCAGGGGCAGTCAATGACCTGTTACTTCCAAGAAGAAGGATTGAGTCTACTGCACCGAACTAAGGAACTAGGAAGGTACAATAACCAGAAGGCTGCAATGCCTGGGGAGCAGAAACCCGCTTCCTAGTATCCTCATCACCATCACCATCAACAAAACACAAGCATTCCTATCAGTCATTATTTAAAGGCGTCAACCTTCAATTCAGACGAATGGATTTCAAAAATTTCAGAAAATCTTCCTGGAACCTGGGAATCAGCATTTCTTCGCTTGTTGGCCATCTTTCTTAATTTTGAACAATTTTTTGGATCAGAGTTGTATGCTTTCGAACATTTCACAACTATAAATGGGATGTTCCCATGTATTTTGTACACCACAGTTGAAGAGAGGGTTGTTAATTATTCAGAATTTTTTGACACATATTTTATGTTCTCCGGGGTCAGTTAGCCATTGTTAATCTTCATCTATGCCTAATTCTTATTCGCATTTCGGAGCAAATTGCTGGAAAAAAACGTTTTGTTGCTGAACTTTTTTCTGTATTCGTCCATTCATGTTCCAATTGGGCCACTGTCCTCTTCCTTATCTCTAGTTTTTCGTAGGAAATTGGGCTTGGGTGAACGAAGCCTACCAATATTTCATCAATGGCTGCTTTTCTGCGTAACTATCTACTAGGACACCGTATGTACTTTCACCCAAACCATCTCGATCATTGGGTTAATAATTTATTTAATTCCACTAGTTTTCATGGTCGACTTGACCAATTAATATCATTTAATTAATTAAGGTTTAAGTTGAGATAAAAAAGTCACTGTCACGGGTGGGATTCGAACCCACGACCTTCGGCTTGATACGCCGCTACTCGACCACTTGAGCTCTCGTGACTTCGATCCCCTCGGGCTCCTTTAATACCTTTAGGAAGATTCAAAAGGTAGGGTTGAGATGGGAAGTTAATGCCCGTAGGGATCGAAGTCACGATAGCTCAAGTGGTACAGCAGCGGCGTATCAAGCCGAAGGTCGTGGGTTCGAATCCCGCTAGTGACACTGACTTTTTTATCTCAACTAAAAACCTTAATTAATTGAATTTATTTAATTTTAGTTTTAATTTCAACACAGTGACACATCTACACAGAAAACACACTTTGGGCCCTGAAGATGATCTCAATAAAGATCGTAATGTTGGCACGATCGAGAACTATCAAACTTAACTAGTATCCTTATTACTATGGTACACCATGGGGTTAAATGTAATTATAATTAATTATATATTTTTTTTCTGTTTTTAAACTAATTTGAACAAATGATTTTGGATAAAATAGGTAAATTTTAATAACACTGAAGAGGGCTTATAACCACAGGTCGAAAAGTTATGAATAAAATCATACAAGCACAAAGAATTTTAAAGTACACAAGTGGAGATAAGTTAAAATTAAGAATACAAATATATAATTGCCTGAGTGTATTTTTCCCCAACATAAACTGTATGGTTTGACAATATGGATAATTTTCCATCATCTTTCAGATAAACTCACGCAATCTTCCAAAAAAATTTGATTTTTGATATTAATTCTCCCTTGAGGGAAAAACTCAACTTTGTGCTTTCATTGGAAATGGCTTTTCTTTAATTTATTGGATTAATAAATTAAATTAGATTTAAATTTATTGGAAATATATTACAATAGAATTTAATCAAAAGTCATCATATTCGGCAATGATTTTTGCAATATTTTTTAGTAAAAGTTAAACTGAAAAAAAAATACTCTTAGTATTTACATTTAGCATTTTGTTTCAGCAAACAATTTTCCGTCATCTTTCAGATAAACTCATGCAATATTAAAAAAAAAATAAATAAAATTGATTTTTGATATTGACTCTCCCCTTGGGCAAAAAAAGATTTGTGCTTTCATTGGAAATGGCTTTTCTTTCAATAAACTTTTAAAATTTATGGAAATATATTACAATTAAAATAAATCGAAAATCACCACATTCGGCCATGATTTTTGCAATATTTTTTAGTAAAAGTTAAACATAAAAAATACTCTTAGTTATTTACATTTAGCGTTTTGTTTCGGCAAACAATTTTCCGTCATCTTTCAGATAAACTCAGGGGGCACTCTCGACACGACACGCAAGAATGGCACAATTATACAGAAGACAACCACTTTGAGCCCTGAAGATGATCTCAATAAAGATCGAAACGTTGGCACGATAAAGAAGATGTTTTTCTAAAGCCTACATCACATCAGACTGCATCTCACGATTTCTGAATAATTATAAAATAATCTTAGTTATTTACATTCAGCATTTTGTTTCGGTTAACACTTTTCCATCATCTTTCAGATAAACTCATGCAATATTTTAAAAAAAATTGATTTTTGATATTAACTCTCCCTTGGGGAAAAAAAGCTTTGTGCTTTCATTGGAAATGGCTTTTCTTTAATTAAATTTAAATTTATGGAAATATATTACAATCAAAATAAATAAAAATCACCACATTCGGCAAGGATTTTTGCAATATTTTTTAGTAAAAGTTATTCTTAAAACATACTCTTAGTTAATTAAATTTAGTATTTTGTTTCAGGAAATTAGAACCTGTTACACCTTTGTGATAAGATAACCACCTTGTTATCTTTCGTGTGTTATAACATGGTTTATTTTTAATTAACAGAGGTCGTTGACAGTATCCAAAGAGATTTGTATCAAAAAGTCATTTATATTTGTCAACCTACTTTGGAGAAAGATGCAACTGAATTTTTTATACTTGAAAGCTGTAAAACTCAACCAAACAGCGCTCATCACATTTTATTTGATTCCTTTGATAATATTTTTCCGTTTAGATATATTCATATTGTTTTACGTAATTCATCAAAATTATAATAATGCGCGACGTTCCGTGTAACATTTCCTGATTTTTCCCACGAATAGCACACTAACGCACTGAGCGGAACTGACCGTTTGACAGAAACAAAAACGCCGAGTTGAACCTCATTTTACGATAAAAATGAACAGTTATTTTTTAAATGAACGGCACACAGGGGGAAAAAAATCATGATACGCCAATTACAGAAGCTTTTGTCGGATGAAACACTTTCGGTTTTACGCTACTTCAGCGGTTGACTCTCGGTTACTCAGCTTGTCCTTGTATGCTTTTTGTAGAAAGGGTTATAATCAGTTTTGCGGGGACAGGCGTTTACGTTGGGAAAGGTCGTGAAAGGTATAAAAAATAGTTATAATTGAACATTGTATGGACACATATTGATGTAACACCTCCTGACAGTATGGTAATTATGTAATTATTTCTCTCTTAATTTTGCTTATAATTTGTTTCAGATTTTTAATTTATTTATGACAACCCTGAAGCATCTAAAATAATTGATATAATTTAAAAGCATATGTCAATAATGTAATAAAAAACTCAAATTAATTTTTGTTAAATGATATATGAGTACGAAATACCTATTATCAGGCAATATATTTTTTATTGTTTTTTTTTTTTATTCCTTTCTGATTAATGTACCATTAATAAAGTAAATGTCCAATTTTTCGGATTTCAGCCCTATGTAGCCTAGCAAGACAAATTTTAGCAATTTTGTTATAAGGTTGAAATCCTGTATGTTTAATGTTAAACAGCTTAGATTTGCGCCAAATAAATCAGTGTTGCCAATTGCAGAAAGAGAGAAAGAACTACACTGGGCCCGCCTTCAACTGACGGGATTTCCTGCTAACCTTAAATAAAATCGCTTAAGTTTTCAATGCTCTGAAGCAACTTTGGACAAGAAAAGTTTGAAATATTAACTGGATATGAAAAATTTTGTGTTTTACAATTGATAAAAGATGCATTGGTGGGGCAAAGATAAAGATCGGAGATAAAATATTCCAAGTTGTAGAGTATAAATTGGCGCGGGGAGAAAAACCAGTGTTGCCAATAAACTGGATAAAACATTGCACATACCGTAAACTCAGGGGATTACCAAAGCTTTAGTAAATTGGGTACATTTGGTGTTGACTTGAGGAAACATTGGGCAAGAAAGGGTTAAAAGTAATTCTAGTTGGTCTTAACATAATTTAACTTTCGTCGTAGATACAGACCTGTTTTTTTATTTATTTTTATTTATTTTTTTTATTTTTTTAGTTTGTCTAGCTATTCTAACTTTCGTCGTAGATACAGACCTGTTTTTTTTTTTAGTTTGTCTAGCTATTCTATTTGTTTTTATGTTATTAATTAAGTACCCTAGTTGGCTCTGTTATATTTTAAGACTTTTTTTTGTAAAATTTGAATATATAAAAACCAAAGACAACAAAAACCAAAAAATTACAACTAAAGACTGCGAAAGGAGTTTAACGAACCAAAGCTCCGAGCATTGACAGATCAAAATGACCAAAAATGCCAAGCTGCAAAACTAATTGTACCTACATGTAAAAATATAATTTTTAATTTAATAGTTTCGATATTATTACAGTGGTGTTGGTGGAAGTAGGCGAGAACGGGTAAATTTGGATTCTCCAAGTTGGGTAAGGGAAAGCTTCCATGACTACAACAAAGAGACAGTCATCCTCATCCACGGATACGCCGGGATATCCGACATACTACCCATGGGAGTCCTTCGAGACGGTAAAGAACGCGAAAAACCTTACTCAGCCCTATTTTATTTCATTTTTGCTCTTTTCAGCCTATTTATCAAACGGGTCTTACAATGTGTACATTGTGGACTGGTCACCACTGTCTAGGATACCTTGCTACGCAGCGGCGGTCCACAACATGAAGCCTGTCGCACGCTGCGTCGCATCACTAATGACGCATTTGAGAAATTCAGGCGTCGATTTTTCCAGGACGACCTGCGTCGGTCACAGCCTGGGGGCCCATCTCTGCGGAATATCGACCAATTATCTCTTATTCAGGCTTCATAAAATCATAGGTATAGATTAATAATAATCATTCATTAGACTAATTAAATTGTGAAAATTTTCGATGTGGAAATGGACGTTTTTAGGATTGGACCCGGCCAGGCCGTTGATACTAAGCCAGCTGAAAGGCAGGTTAGACCCGGGCGATGCTCAGGTCGTGCAAGTCATCCACACCAGCGCCACCTATGGTGACAGCAGACGATCCGGTCACGTTGACTTCTGTGTCAACGGTGGAAGCAGTCAACCTTTCTGTGCTAATACGACAAGTAAGTCGAACAATCCGTATTTCTTTTAAAATTTGTACAATTATTCAAAAGACCCCTTATATATACGTACACGATAGAATTCTGCTTATTTTCGACCAATTCTCAAGCAAAATTTTCAAAAGGATTTTCTGTCATCAGTTCTACAAGCGTGACTTATCAAATCAATCACGTTCCGCCATAACAAAGCTCTTTTGGCAGATAAAGAAAAATGTTCCGCGCATACAGAGAAAGCTATAACCTTGCAATTGATTTCAGGCTGGACCTATATTTAAGATAATCTATTTCTGATCTATTATCTAGAAAAAAGGTCAAGAAATAATTTTCCCAAGTAAAAGGTCAACGGGAAGCGTCAATTCAATGCTTCAAAAGTGAAGGAAGACGCTTCTGGCTTTTTGCGCCAAAAATTCATACAGAAAATACAAAAATGGAAGCAGACTTATTTTTTTTGCCTATTGAATATGTATTTTTTCTTGAAAAATAATTTAAAGTTAGAAAAAATTTAATGATGATCGCACTAAAAGTTAAACCTTTAACCGAAAAAGGTTTAAAGCATGTGCCTGATGATTTGTTAAAGCTTTTTTTCTCTTTTACTTCGCAAATAAGACGGCTAATGGGCCAGGTAAGTCGGAAAAGCATCAACCTTCGCACAACACCCCTCACGAGAAAAATAAAACAGAAATAAAATGACAAAACCTTTCTTAAAATTTTTAAAAAGGTACACATTTCTACGAAATATTAAAATAAACTCAACACTCGATATAAACAAACAAGTGGTTACATTCACTCATCTAGAGTATTTGATATTCCTCTGGACTGTGTCTAACCCACTGTATTCTCGCTAATAAGTTACTTTTACTCTCTAGACGTCACCCACTCACGCTACAGTATTCGATATTCTTCGGGCTTGGGTTAGGCAACCTCATCCTTTCACGCTAATAAATTCATTCATTCTAATAAAATTAACAAAAACTCAACACCCAATATAAACAAAGAATTCTGGACACATTCACTCACCCAGCGTATTTGATATTCTTTGGCGCTGTCTAACCCACTGCATTCTCGCTAATAAGTTACTTTTACTCTCTAGACGTCACACACTCACCCCAGAGTAATCAATATTCCTCGGGGCGGGGTTATAAGCAACCTCTTCCTTTCACGCTAATAAATTATATTCATTTCAATAAATTAACATAACCGCAACAGCTATGTACATTTAAAACTCCCTTTAGTCCTGAGGTACCGGAACAGCTGCCCGCCTCCCTGTCCCAAAACTACACACACGTCCGTCCACATATTAAAATATCGTCTATAAAAATCAAGCCTTCTACAATTGAAAATGTGCTCCACCGTTATTTTATTCTTGCATAACGGGCACCTACGCGGTCACTTTCTGAGCAGAAGGTGCCCGTGAGTTATTCTTGCATGGCCTATGCGCAGTCTTGTCAGTGTGGCCTTTTCCATTTTCAATCACATTAATCCTTGTCAAATTATAAAATACTAATTGGTCTTTTATGAACATCTTAATCATGGCTGATTTTTTCAAAAATCTCCAGCGAAATAACATTAAAATCTCATTGAAAGGGAAATATTTGAGTGAGTTGTATGATTTTTTCTAATATTTTTTTTGACGTTTGTATAGACGAAGAGCTCTGCTCGCATATTCGCAGTGTATGCTACCTTGCTGAAAGCCTTGATCCTAGCAGGGCCAAAATTGGTTCGCCGTGTCTGAGGAGATGTCTGAAAGGGGCGAGAAGGCCCGTCTGGGACAGGAGGAACCTGCCTGTCCCCATGGGACACAACACGCCCGAATGGTAAATTTTATAACACCACGAACCGATTAAATCATTACAAAACTTGATTTTTTTTCCAGGGTCGACGGGCTTTATTGTGTCAGCAATGAAGAAGCCCCTTACTGCCCAACCAAAGAGAACCCTTTCGGGAACCCGCTCTGCTGTGTACCGCCGGGAAAACCGTTTTCAAGCAATCTTGTCAAATAAGTACAACAAACGAGACTGACCTCAAAATTTCTAGTTTAACAATGTTTCGTTTTAAAAATAGTCCCGCTTTGTTCTTGTTAAACTGTAATCTGTAAGCAGTATTTATTGTTAATGATTATTTAATTGTTTATTTGTTAATTAAAATAATTTTAAATCGTTTGTGTTTTAATTACCAAACTTAAAAAGTCATCAAAACATTTTAAAACTCGCACAATTTTCTGTCTGTACAAAATTAGTTGGACTTTTTACGTTTCAATCTTTTAAATGTATGTTTTAAATATCTTATTTTCAACGTTTCAAAAATATTGTTATGTTTAATGATGACACATTGTATATGAATGTGAATATTTTAATTGGGGGCGTGGGTGGCCGCAACGGTTTAGGCGTTGACACGGCGCTGATCACTGGAAGGTAAAGGTCCCGCGTTCGAATCCAGCGGCCTACCATTCGAACCCGACATACTTACAAATGGGCTTTTTTTAATCAAAAACACCGGCACCATGAGGGTTGATATAATTTCTTCTGTTGTAATCCCTCGAAAAAAAAAATTCGTGAACAAGATTTGCATTTTACCCATGCATTGAATACCCATATTTTACAGTTTTAAGTCTACATTTTATTATTTTACATTGTTTCAACGTCTACGTTAAAAAATTCATTCAGAGTGTAAAATGGGTTGTTTTGTAGCCATTTGCAAAATCTTTTTTTTAAAGACCCTTGCTGGTAATGCTGTTATATGTACAGGTAGATTGTTAAATAGTTTGACTCCAACAAATTCAAAACTGACTAATTTTAGTCTTTGTACAGAATGGATAAGACAACTTATTTTTCGCTCTAGTATTATGTTCATGTACATTATATTTACACATATATAATTTGCAATGTTTTTCTTAATTCCACTAGTTTTTGTGGTCCTCAATTAATATCTTTCAATTAATTAAGGTTTTTAGTTGAGATAAAAAAGTCAGTGTCACGAGCAGGATTCGAACCCACGACCTTCGGCTAGATACGCCGCTGCTCTACCACTTGAGCTATCGTGACCTCGATCCACTCGGACACCAACTTCCTATCTCAACCCCACCTTTTGAATTTTTCCCCCTTTTTGCCATTTTTCAAATGTCGTCTAAATTATTTGATTCTCGGCTACCAATGAAATGAAAAATGGCAAAAAGGAGGGCAAATTCAAAAGGTGGGGTTGAGATGGGAAGTTAGTGTCCGAGTGGATCGAAGTCACGATAGCTCAACTATAAACTTTAATTAATTGAAAGTTTTTCTTAATATGCAATACTGTGGTAAAAATGTACAAGTTTATCACATTCATAATTTTTTATTTACAAAAGACTAATCAACAGGACTCTTTTCTTTTCAAGTAGAACATTATTCTTACACATCTTTTTTGAATAATGATGACATCTTTTATATGTGAACTGCTCCCCCACACTAGCAACCGATAGGTCATGACTGCGAGGAAAAGTGCAAGTAGACTATGCGCCCCATCTCAAGTGAGATGGTATCCCTAATTTCTAACATTAGAAAACAATGAGAAGACATTATACTTCACCTTCATTATACCTCACTTATGCTGGCACCATGATAAGTGACTACAATAATGATCCTTAATATTTCACAAGTATTTAGTAGTGAGTGGTTTTTGTAGGGTGCGAAAAACAAATATCAACTTTGTTTCTTCCATAAAAAAATGTTTTAGCCAATTTAGGGACGTTACACAGTCATAAATTATGTTGTTCAATATCTACGAAAAAAATTGCCCCAAGCTGATTGAGCCCTAAAATGTATATTTTTATAGTTATTAAATTTAGATTTTAAATGTTTTTTATCCAGCTTGACTGGAATCAATTTTTGATTTTGGTAACTAATTACATACCGTTTTAGCTTATGTATATCTAATTTTATTTCATATCTTTAACTGTAATTTTATGTATTTATATCATTTAATGCGAACCTTTGTATAATTTTTTTATCCAACGTACAAAAAACTTGTATTAAGTGTGGTTTTTGTAGGGTGCGAAAAACAAATATCAACTTTGTTTCTTCCATAAAAATATGTTTTAGCCAATTTAGGGACGTTACACAGTCATAAATTATGTTGTTCAATATCTACGAAAAAAATTGCCCCAAGCTGATTGAGCCCTAAAATGTATATTTTTATAGTTATTAAATTTAGATTTTAAATGTTTTTTATCCAGCTTGACTGGAATCAATTTTTGATTTTGGTAACTAATTACATACCGTTTTAGCTTATGTATATCTAATTTTATTTCATATCTTTAACTGTAATTTTATGTATTTATATCATTTAATGCGAACCTTTGTATTATTTTTTTATCCACCGTACAAAAAACATGTATTAACTATTGTTTTTTTGGGCGCGAAAAACAAATATCAACTTTGTTTCTTTCACAAAAAAAAAAGTTTTATACAAGTCAGGTAGGTTACTCAGTCATAAATTGAGTAATTCAATATCTACGAAAAAACGCCCCAAGCTGATTTCACTCAAAGATGAATATTTTTGTTGCTTTAAAATTGTAAATCAATAGGCTTTAATGGGTGCTTAAGAATATCAATTTTTTTTCAAAAACCATGTTTTTTACCTGCTTAGTCACTAATTATATATCTTTTTGGCTTTTATATATCGAAATTTACTTTATAGCTTTGACTTGTAACTTTTTATATTCTATCTCACTTAATACGAGTTTTTATATTACTTTCTAATCCTACGAAAAATACTAATCAACTGATATGTATAAATCCATTTTGGAACACATGCACGGCAAAGGCAGAAAAACATATGATTTTACATGGTTTTTTCTCGGCTGGTACTAGTGGCATAAACTAGGATATGTTCGACTTCGTATCACCAAATTTGTTCCATTAAAATCATTGGACCCACGTCCTTGTTAGTTAATTCTAAGAATTTATTTAATTTTCTTGCTAATAAATACTTTACAATTAATTAAGGTTTTTAGTTGAGATAAAAAAGTCAATGGCACGAGCGGGATTCGAACCCACGATCTCCGGCTAAATACGCCGCTGCTCTACCACCACCTGAGCTATCGTGACCTCGATCCACTCGGACACCATCTTCCCATCTCAACCACACCTTTTGAATTTTCCCTCCTTTTTGCCATTTTTCAATTCAGTAATTATAATGTATTAATTGGTCAAGCGGACCACGAAATTAGTGAATCTAATAAATACTATTCTTCTTGGTTGTATTCTGCCTTGTTCGGATAAATTGTTTTCGTTTTATTCCGAATGTACTTTCTAATTGTAAACCAGATCAGAGTTCACAGACAAATCGAACAAGGATTTTCAAGATTATCCATGTCATTAACAAATTCCGAAACAAACGGCAGTTGTGATGAGAATTTTGATGGTTGACCATGCTGATCGAAGGGGAAAGTCGGCCCGACAGTCGACAGCCGGCGTCGAAGAAACCATGATCCTACCTTTATTTTTCTTGATCTTCACAGGTGCGTGTGTGCGGATTTTATAAAAAAATAATTTTATTGGCCATTTGGTTCAGTAGTCCGAGGGAAATGTGAGCATGTGGGCAAACGGGAACCCAATCCCGTAGAGGAGCTTTTTCCCTCTCGATTGAAAGTAGCATTTAAAATTAGGAGGTTTTATTGTGTGGGTTTTTTTAGTATATGACATACTGGCAGTTCTCGACGGAAAGCTGAACGACAATGATCTTCTTTCTTTTTCTCCCCTTGATGTTTTCAGGTTGGTCACGAAATTTAACATGTTAAAATCACGACCTTTGAAATTTAAAATTTACTGCATAATTATCTTGATATAATTGCTACTGCCATTTTTATATATAATAACAATTTCGTATTAAAAATCTGTGATAAGGCCAATTAAAAAAAAGCTCGGTTCCATCAAGCTTTCGAAGAATATATATACTTCATCAGGACATACAAAACCAATTGTTAATATATTGCAAATTTAACAAATATAAACGTCTACCCTTTTAATGCTGAAATTTATGGTCTTAAATTTACTTTAATTTCCGACTTGATAGTGGAACGAGATCGACAACCCGTTTACTGATAGAAATTATAATATTATGTTTTTCATGCTGTTGCTTCTTCTTTTAAAGATGCAAAGTTGTTTTATAATATTTTAAATCAAGAATTTACATAAAATTAAAAATGGAAAAATGCATGATAAATAAAACCACCGGGTGTTTACACACTTTTGATTAAACATAAAAAAACATTAAAAAATGATTTATTTTTCCATTTATTTTTCCATATCAATCCAAACATAGATTTATGTTTTTCCTAGGATGTTACTTGTTTTAACTTGATGTATATTTTTTATGCTACAAATGTTGTTTATGAGAAATTAACCTGATGTCTAGGTGTGCACTTTTTCAATTTTTTCCATATTTCTGTTTGTTTCGCCTTCCATTCTATTCTGTCTTTCCTTAGATTTGGTCCTTCTATTTTATATGATGTATTATGGTTTCTCCTGAATTTACTACTTGATTTGACCTTTCTTACTTACATAGTGCCATTTAATGTTTCCCACCAAGTTTTACATTTTCAAAATCCGAAATTTTCTGGGCCTGTATTTTTTCCTAAATTGATTTTTTATGTAATTAACTAATATTTATTCCAAAGGTTTCACTATAATTGCTGGTTACCTTTACTGATTTTTGCAAATAATTGCCCTTTTCGTTGTATGGTTTCGTTGATGACAGTGCTATTTTGTCCAGGTACAAAGATCTGAAAATCTTAACAATACCATTGTTAATTATTATGTGTGGTGATTAGTGACCGTTAGTCGATGATTATTCGGAAATCGTGAGATGCNAAAATGTTTTTCTGAAACCTACATCACACCAGACCGCATCTCACGATTTGCGAATAATTAATTATTATTATATTAATAATTAATAATAATATTATTTTAATAATTTCTCTTTTTTCAGGACATTTTTTTAGATAATTTCGTTTTTAAACTTAAAGAAAACGTCATTAATTAAATACGATTTTTCTAATCCAATTTTACTAATATCGTTTTTACTCATACATGCTTTTCAAAATTCGAACAATTTAACTAATATTTCTTGCAATTTTCCTTTCAGTACTGTTTGTAGATAAAGTTAAAAATGTACTTTTGTGTTTTCTTTGATTACTGGATTAAGTTTGAATATTGTGTTGTATTAATTGCTTTAAGAAATCCTATAATTCTCTATAAATTGAAAATCTTAAATTTTTGAAATCACAACTATTAAAAGAAGTTTACTTCCTCATGTATACGTAAGTGTCTCGAGCGGGATTCGAACCCACGACCTTCGGCTTGATACGCCGCTGCCCTAGCCACGTCATGATTGCTCAAGTGGTAGGTTAGCGACGTATCAAGCCGAAGGTCTTGTGTTCGAATCCCGCTCGTGACACTGATTTTTTTTATCTCAACTTAAAACATTAATTAATTGAATGATTTTTCAGTCTTCAACTCACACATTTCTTACACGCTTGAAAGCAAAACTCATAAATTTATTAGGGAATTTAGGATGTGTAGGGTCGTATTTGAATTTCTGAAGTTGAACTGGGCTTAGGTACCCAGTATTATTTTTCTCCAAAAAAGGTAAAAATTTGAAATTAAATTAAAATATATAAAAACGCATTTTTTTATGGCGTTATTGGTTCAACAGAAATTCAGCCGGGCTTTGTAAACACCCTGTATACTTATTTCTTCGACATATCCTATCACACTATCTCCATTTACCTTAATATTCCTTTCGTAAAATATGGCATAAAATCGAGGTATACGAAATTTCATCGAAATCAAATGTCCTAAGCTTAACATGCACTATTCCGAATAATCCTCGCCGGACGAAAGTGGCAGTGCTTCGCGACCTATTGGACAATATAGAAGTTTCTAGTGTAAGTGTTTATTTTGTTTTTTAATTTCGCAACGAATTCTCGGCAACCAGACAGATACAAGCGGGCGTCTTACAAGGAAGCATACTTGAACCCATCCTTTACATCATCTACACCGCCTGCACCCCCTACTACCTGCACACCCCAATACCATAACCACTACCTAAGCTTAAAATACTGAAATTTTGTCCTCTAACAGAATTCTAAACAAACTACCTCCAACATCCAAGAACACGTTGAGATACTGTCTTCCATTCAAGTCAAATTCCTAGGACTATACGTGGCACAGACTGTCGAGGAATACCCATACAAGAGGTAACAACTTAAGAAAGAGCTCGGACCACTACATCTAGGACTGAAATCCGCCTTGACCGTCAACACAAAATTAACTTTATGCGTCCTCCAAGGAAGCATACTTGGACCCATCCTTTACATCATCTATACCTCTGATCTGCCTGCACACACTAATACCATAATCACCACCTACGCGGAAAATACTGAAATTTAAAAAAAAAACTGAAATAAAACATATTCTGTTCACATTTCTAATATATACTAATATGTATTTGTATAAATTAACAATCTTATTTGTTGTTTATTAAAATAAATCCTGTTGAAAAACATGTGAAAAAGTATTGTACAAGCTAGAAAGACTTTCCTCACGTCATAAGGATCCTACTGCACTAACCCAAAATAAAACAATGACGGAACAAGTAAAAGGAAAAATGAAACAAGGAAGAAAAGACTTGTGATAAAGAAAGATGGAAAAGATTGGGAAAAATCACGAGCTAGAAATTGGTTAGTTCCTTTTTCTTTTTAAATTAATTCAAATGTTAATAATTTAGACAACAATTTAATAATGAATAATTATCATAATTATTAGAAAACATTTAGTTCTGAAGGAAGTAGTAGGAAAACAACTTTTCCCAGTTGTGCTGTTTTCCAAATCATATCATGTTCTTTGCTTTGAACTGCTAGATAGTTGTTCGATACTAGAAAAAGGGTTTGGGTCAACCGGACCTTGCGAATGGTTTATTGATATTCACCGTTAGTGAGTCCGGAGGACGTTCGACGTTCGTCATACGAACTGAAAACTATTTTGGGATGTAGCCAAAACTATAAACGCCTCCATTTCAAAAAACTCGGACACCCAGGCTGTTAAAAGGTTTCATATTTGTCCACGTTGTCTTGCATCTCTGCAGGATATTCGAAATTTGTTGCTTTCCTGTTTCCTTTGGTTTGTAAATTTAAAGGAATTTTCGATCAAACGTACCTAACATATTTTAAATCGAACAGCATAAAATTGAAGTATTTACAATCTGTCCACATTTTTCTGTTCGTTATGGTTTCTCATTTTGTTAGAAATGTGCGAAGAATTATAAATAAATGCATATTTATGATTTTTTATAAAATTAACAGTAATATTACAACACGTATGAAATTTTTTTAAGACATTTGTCTTCAGCCTGATGAATCTGATCAGGATCCACTTATTTTCGTAATATCTGTCAAATTTTTAGAAGGATAAGGGTTTTACTTATATTCTGCGTATTTGACAGTCCGAAAGACCTTAAATTAGTAAGTATTTTCTAGACATAGGACTAATAAAATTGATTAAGAATGCAACAGTTTTTTCCAACTAGAAAATCCTTACTTAGATAGTTTACCAGGTTTACAGGCTATAAAGAAAAATAAAATAAATATAACGTCTTGAATGATAACCTAAGATAACAGAGGAATTTTCAATATGCAAGGTTCCAGAGAAAATAAAATGAAAATAGCCACTAGGCAGATTTACCCTTTGCTGAATAAAAAATAATATAAAAATAAAACAATAAAATACAACTATGAGTACTATGTTCCTATTTATAAGGGGACGACCAGATTGGTGTCACGGATTTGGACCAAACAATTTTGGTGATTATACACTCCAAAATATCGGACACTTATAACGCCACTTCTTGTAAATTGGCCCTGGTTTCATTTACAAGTTCAAATTTTACGTTTTTCATATTTTTATTTCGCCGTTCTGCTTATTCAAACCGACCGTGTGAATATATCATTTTACAGCATTTTATATGCAGATTGAAATAAAAACATTGTTATTATTGGCCCAAAATATTGAGCACGAATCCCCCACCTGTTCTGAATAGGCCATGGTTTCGTCAAACATTTTTTCGAAACAATTAATCTTTTAAGTAAGGCAATGGTTGAGAGAAAAAGTCAGTGTCACGAGCGGGATTCGAACCCACGACCTTCGGCTAGGTACACCGCTACTCTACCACTTGAGCTAGCTTGACTTCAATCCACTCGGACGCCAACTTCCCGTCTCAATCCCACCTTTTGAATTTTGCCATTTTTCAATCGGCCAATCGGACCACAAAACCTAATCGATTTTTTCGAAATTTAAAATTTTCCGATTTTTAATATTTTCATTTCGCCGTTAATTGCACAAATGAACTATGTGAATACACAATTTTGTAGAATTTTGCGAGGATATTGCAATAAAATATAGTAAAAGCTATCAACCTTTACTATAGACCAATAAATTTCTAAAAACCAAATATTTTTTAAAG